GCCCTGACTCATAGCGACCCCTCCTTGGGTTTCCAAGGCAGTATCACTACGGAAGTAGGATTGCCCAACCTTCCTTCTGAGGAGTGGCTGGTGGGTGTGAACCGCCAGCCGTCTGGTTAGCAGGCGAGTGTCTTTAGCCACTATGCTACCAGAGCTTCCAGTCAAACTATATAAGAATATATTCATAAAAATAATGTTTTATAATTAATGATTTTTTTTTATGAATGTATTCTTATTACATTAATTTGCACTCTAACTTGGCTTCTCAGTCTTTACATCTATCTGGGTGTCGTTGCCACGACCGTTACTGATATGGCACCTATTTCGTTGGTTATACTTCTGAATCAAAGTGTGGTATGAGTTCAAAAATTGCTTCACTTTAATTGTGTGCCCTGAATTAATATAGATGTGTCTAGCTTCATAAAATAAATCTTAATTTTAATTTACTAAATCATTAAACATAACTTAATCATTTCTTTTTAATTTATAGGTGGCCACATCATTCATTCGAACAATACAGCTTGGCGGGAAAGGATATGCACCATCACCATCTGATCCTTTAAGAACACATGTAAAGGGATTGTCTAATTTTATTAATTTCATCGACAAATTAGGTGAGATTCTTGGAGAAATCCCAAATCCAAGGTAATGACTCTTTATGAATTACAAATGTGTGTTATTAATCCACCTTTAAAACTTCACAGAATCAGAGGTAGAAATATAAGATATAATGAAGTGAGCAAGCATCAGACATCAGTAGGAAGAAGAAACATAGTATCTAGATGCTTAAAGTATACTTACCTGACCTTTTCCCCAAAACTTCTGCCTAGCTCTGTTTTTAAGAGTCTTGGCAAAGTCAAAAAGCATTTTCAAATTAACTTTGATTTGAAAAGAGGATTTACTATTTATCTTCATCTGGAAAAAAACAGACTTTGGGGAACTGGAAATGACCTGATAGATCATTTTTTAAATGTTTTATTTAGTGAAAAAAGAAAGTGATATTAAGAATGAATAGGGAAATTGACAAAGTGTGATGAATATTCTATTTAGTCAGTTTTTTTTTTTTAAATTATGTGTAAATCTTTGGTTTATCTGTAATTTGTGTTTATATTATATTACAAGCTAGAAGTTTTCTTGTCTAATAGACATTTATATTATGGGTGTATTGGATGACAATAAGGTTTAGATAAATTTTTTCTTGCATTTTATTGAAATATAATTTATGTACAGTGAAATACACAAAACTAAAGTGACATAGGTCAATGCAGTTTTTTTTGCAGTGTTCCCTCCCCTCCTGCCCTGGCAACCAACAAAAAGTTTCCCTCCATATAGAAACCTTTCCTTGACCCTCTACAACGAACTAATACTATATTTGTCCTTCTGTGATTGACTTATTTCGCTCAGCATAATGTCCTCCAAGTTCATCCATAATATGTGGTGTTTTACAGACTGTACATTATTCTTTAGTACTGCATAGCATTCCATTATGTGTGTGTAACGTAGCTTGATCATCCACTCTTCCACTATAAATCTTAGCGTTAAGCCCCTTGCCAGATATGTAATTATTGGCAAATAAGAATTTGTTGCTGTCATTTTTGTTATGTGCTTTTTCGTAGTGTTGATTTCTTTGTTCCATACAGTTTTCCATGCTGAGCTCATTTTGTTTATGAATCGTGTTATCACTTCCTTCATTGCTATTGTTTTAGTATTTCCTGAATATTTATGCTGGTCCTCTTTTTTGATGTGAAGGTTTATCCTTTTTCTTTGAGGTTACCCTGTGATTTATAGTTTAAATTTAAATTCTCATCTTTCATCATACCAGGAAAATTCTCTTCCAAAAAATCTTTGACAATTTTCTCTGTGGTTTTATTTGTGTCTTCCTGTACTGGAATTCCGATTACATGTAGGTTATTCCTTTTGATGGTATCCCATATGAACCTTAGGCTTTCCTCATTTTGTTCTGATCTCTTTTTCTTGTTTATCCCTTTCCAAAGAAGTGTTCAGGTATTTGCCTTCAATCTCCCTAATTCTGTCTTTCATTGATTCATTTCTGCTCCTTTGTCCATTTAATGTCTTATTTATTTCTGAAAATTTAGTATTAATTTTCTGGATTTCTGTGTGTAGATTTTGTATCATTTCTAATTTTTCATTTATTTTGTCATTTTGTTCTTATATTGTCCTTTTGAAAGTGTTCTAGGGTTTTCTCTGTGTTTTCCTTGATCTGCCTCTCCATTCATTGAAGATACCTAAATATAATTCTTTGAATTCCTTATCAGGAAGTTCCAATGCTGCTGCTTCTTCAGGGATGTGTTTTGGGTCTGTATCCCGGTCCCTTGTTTCTCCTGCTCTATCTTGCTTCTTTGTGTGGACCGTGATGCTCTGTTGTCTCCGAGGCACTGTGACGTTTTTTGTTTATGTTTATTTGGTGATTGTATGTTGGAGTGACTTGCCCACAATTTTCGTTTTGTTTTGTTTGTATGTTATCTACGTAATCAGAATACTGGGCTGTGCTCCTCTACTTGCCAATGGGCAGTACTTATACATTCACCACCTGTCTCCTTTTTTGTTGCCTGCCGACCTTGGCAAATAGAGCCTATTCTTAGGTCCCTGGAATCCAAATGAGGATGCTATCACTTTAAAATCCAAAATGGTTGCCACTTGTAAAGATTCAAAATGGCTGCACCGTCATCATTTTAAATATCCAAAATGCCCACTGCTTGTAAACATTCAAAATGGCTGTGCCTTCAGTCACTTTAAATATCCATAATGGCTGCTGCTTATAAACATTCAGAGTGGCTGGGCCCTCCGGGCAACAGAAACTCAGCAGCTCAGGTTGTCTCCCACCTTGCAGTTTCCCTTCCTAGTCATACATAGGCCACCAGCGCAGTCATCCCTGCAGCCCTTGGTGACCAGGGCTGATTTTTTTAGGTCAATTCTCAGATCCCAACACCACTTGGAAATATTCAAGCTGTTGGTCCCGTTGGAGTAGTTGGTAGTCTGCAGCTTCGACCGTCTCTGTACTCACTGTTTTCATTCAGGTTTTTTCACTAGTTGGTGCCTAACACACTTCTGTATAGTTCCTTTCAAAGCTCAGGGCTCCAGGATTATCTTCTGTATCTCTGTCAATTGTTTTTTCTTTTCTTTGTTGAAGAGGGTCTGTGTCGCTTCTCTGCGCCTATTCCTCCATCTTACCGGAAGTCAATTTTTAGATAGATTTTTGAGGGGAGAAGTAGGTTATATATTCTAGCACACATGGTAGATCACTGTCAGTTTGGTTGGTAAGCATAAACATGTTAACTATAAAAACAGCTGATCTTTATTGAACGTTGCTTATGTGTCAGAGGAGTCCCTGGATAGCATGATGGTTAAGTACGTGACTATGAGCTGAAAGGCTAGAGGATAGAACCCACCAGAATTTCCTCAGAAGACAGGTCTGATCTAATTCTGAAAGTTCACAGCCCTGAAAACTCTGTGGAGAACTTCTACTCTGCACACGTTGGGTCACCAGGAGTTGGAATCTGTTAACAAAAACATGCTGTCTAAACTCAGCCTTTCATCTTGCTTGGACTGTGTCACTCGTCTCTGAGAGTTGTCCATTCTGTCTCTAGTCTTATTTTTTGGCCCATCCTGTAGTCCTCATCTCTTTCTACAACCACAAATATTACTCTTTTTTTTTTTTTT